GGCACAGGGGATTCAGCTTGGGATGGAAATCCTGGAGCACAGAGCCACAGAAAGGCAGCCTGGGGCTGAGGGCTCAAAAAGCACAGAACAGAGAGGGGAAAAAGCAGCTCAGAGCCAGGACGTGGCACCAGAGACAAGGGAGAGGCACCTGGCAAGGCTCCAGGCCTTGGGGCTCCCTGGTCCTGCAGATTTTGCAGGATGGGGACACAGCACGGGCTGTCCCACTGCTCCTGCCAAGGAAAGCCAAGGAAAGCAGCTCCAGCTCTGGGAAAGGGATGGGAAAAGGGTAAAAGTGCAGCGACCCCACAAATCCACAGGGGAGGATGCTGTGCAGATCCCAGTGCCAAATTTTCCAAGTAGGGCACCCTTTCCCCAGGCACGCAGGCAGCAGGGCTGTGGGAGGGAGGAGGTTTGGGGCATGGGGAGAGTCTCACAAACTCTCTTTGCAGCAAAAATTCCCCTCCAAGCCCCAAACAGCACTGCTCACATCCCATTCCCAGAGGGGGCCAGCCAAGACCCCGGGGAGAGGGGCAGACAGGGCAGCAGAGATGCAGACAGACACAAAACACAGCAGAGCACACAGGGGCCAAGTCTTGCTCTCAGCAATGCACCCAGCCAGCTCAGGGAGAAAAATGAAGGGGAAAACAAAAAAACCCAGCAACAATTAATCTATTGTTTCTCCCTTCCCAGATTATTTTTAAGTATTTGTGACAGAGAAGGAAGAAGACAAAGGCTGGAGTGGACACAGTCTGAAGAATTCTGGTGTCTGTTATGACAGGGAAGCTGTTCTATCCCACTTTTTACTGAGCCTCTGCAGCAGGGAGAGGGATCACAGCTTCCCACAGCCTGGAGCCAGGATTGAGGCACAAAAACCCCAGGGGGGTACCCAGCCCAGGCTCCCCACACCAGCACAGGGCACATTTATCCACATCTATCTCCACCACCACCACCTAATCTTATCAGCTGGCTGTTCTCCTTGCCCAGGAATGTCTGGAGTGAGGCAGACTGTGAGAACTCCCTGAGCTGCCCATTAACAGGGAAACACAGGAAAAACAAACCAGGATAACACCCCCAGGGATGGGCAGCCTTGGAAAAGCAGCTTTGTACCAACATCCCTCAGGCTGGCAGAGAGCTGCTTCATCAACAGGAAACCCTGGAAGATAATATCCTAATTAGACCAATTAAGAGTGCTGCAGGGGATCCTAGGGAGAGTGGAACATCCCTGCTCAGCAGGGTTCCTGGCAAGCAGAGGGTTTTGCCCAAAAAAGGAGCTGATGGTGCAGTGCCAGAGGGTTTTGCAGCATGCAGACAGAGTGACCCAGAGGTCTGGCTGTGCAGGAGAGGGTCCCAGCCTGCAGGCAGGACATGGCATTTCCCAGCTGGAAAAAGCCTGGAGGAATCCCTGCCAAAAAGTCACAGCCTCAGGCCAAGTGCCAGCAGGTAAAAAGCTGTGCCAAGTTTGCTGCTCCTCTGAGGGCCACAATGCAGTGGAAGCTTTTCCTTATCAGGAGGATTTGTTGAATGAACGGGGAGGAAGTGATGCCCGGGAAGTTCCACCTGAACACAGGGAAGAACTTTTTCCCTGGTCAGTGAACAGAGACCTGAGAGGGGATGGAATCTCCTCCCTGGGGACATTGCAGAGCTCTCCAGACACATTCCTGTGCCCTGTGCTGGGGGATGGCCCTGCTGGAGCAGGGAGGTGGCACCAGGGACCCTCCGTGGTCACAATCCACCCTGGGATTCCGGGATTTGCTCTGCTGGATTGGCAGAGGCTCAGCCTAAAACCACACTGCTCCTCTGTGGTGCAGAGAGGAGAGAGCTGCCCTGAGCCCTGCCTCCAGCAGACAGGCCTGCAACCCAGAGCAGTGCAGCCAGGGAAAGGGGAAAAAAAAAGGAGTTCAACAAAAAGCTTCCCAGTCTGGTGGCAGAACCACAAGAGAGTCTTTGTGAGCAGGGGCAGCAGGGATGAGCCTGGGCCAAGGCTGCTCTCATCCCAAACCCCCCAAAGCCCATCCCTGGCTGCAGGGAATGCCCAGGGCAGCCTGTGGGGTGAGCCCAGAGGGGACAGACCCTGCTCTGCCCCTCCTGACCCCCAGCTGGCCATGGGCCAGGGCAGCAGGGTCCTGCTCCAAGCTGGGCTCCAGTGTCCCACTGGGAAGGGGACACAGGTCCTGCCAGGGGGGACAGGCTGGAACCAGGGACTTCTCCAAGTGTTCCTGCAGATCAAAGCACTGGAATCAGCTGTTTGGGAAACCTCTGCCAAGCAATGGTCTGGGGAAGAGACATCTGGCAGCAGCTCACAGGCTCCTGGTGTTTAGTCTCTTTGAGATCCTACAAGAGGCACCTTCCCTGCATCCTCAAGGGCTGTCTGAACAAACAGGAGTGAAAAAAAACCCACAGCAGCCCAGGAGACAGAGGGAGGAACAAGGAGCAAGCTCAGATCCCAAATGTGTTGAATGAGACAAGAGAAATGGGCAGGAAGTGATGCCCAGGATGTTTTATCTGAACACAGGCAAGAATTTCTCCCCTGCTCAGTGCCCAGCCCTGGGCTGCCATGGATGGGAGTCCTGGGGAAGGGCTCCAGTGGTGCCACACTGCCAGAGCTCACCCTGGGTCAGGGGTTCTGTGTGCTGGAAAAGTCTCTCCTCGAACCCTGCTTCCAAAGAAAGGCTCAGCAGTCTCTGTTGTTGGTCTCAAGGCAGTTTATTGCAAGTTATCTAAAAGATTT